AGGTTTGAGGTCTACTTGCGTGCGTAAATTTCCGCAGTAGATTTCCGCATATCGCCGATACTTCTGTGCATAGTCAGGCCCTACCATCATGGCTGTAGGGACAAAGGGAGTGTGGAGCACCATGTCTAAAAAAAACAGCAATGCTCGTAAGGGAAAGGCAGCACGAAAGTTTTTCTGCAGCATTTTGAGGACTTCTTCACCATCACCTTTGTGCCCTTCTGGCAATGACAAGCTCAGCTGCCCCAAAAACTCTGAGCTCGACCTCGCCAGCTGAAGCAGGATCTCAAAGAGATGAGTGAGACAGTGAAACTTTCAGAGCAAAAGAAGAGACGCTTCATGAGGGCTACTCACACACTTTACATGATGAAGACTGGGTACAGCTTCTCCGTGAACGTCAAAATCAACGTACCAACGAATCTAATTCGGAGGAAGGACAAAACGGAGAGGTTTCAGGGTAATCACCAGAAACGTGGACAACAGTGTGAAACTATGGATCGCGTAGAAGATGTTGGGAAAAACGATGTATATAAATGGTCGAAATGATAGTGCAGAAGAGCCAGACAGTCACAATTGATGGGGATGGTGAATCTGCAAGGGGACAGCTCTCAAGAGATTGTTGGCAAAGCTTAGTCTAATGTCAGCTCAGCGCAGGTTAGCAACATCAACTCCCAACGGATGTTTGATGTTCGTCTCTTGTTAGTACGAACGAGATCAGTGTTGACTAAGCTGAGATTTGTGTGGGATCAAGAGATGCAGCATTCTTGTTGGGAATCATCTGACTGACACTGGCAGGCAGTTAGCAGACTGTTTGACCAAGAGTATGAAACCTGACCTTTTGGTCAGAGTGCTTGCTGAGGTATACATCACTTGAAAAAGCCTGACTGAGAGACTTGGAAGTGTACAGACGTTGGAATAGCACAGTAGTACCAGAATGAGATAGCCTGGTGAGCCATTTTGGCCATTCCAATAGGAATAGAGTTGCATGCTTTGTTTTGTATATAGTACTGCCGCGTTCACACCAGTAGACAAGACGGGTGTGATTCCACGCTGTCGTATGCATGGTCTTAGAGAAGCCTGGTTGTGAATGACTGCTGTGTCACGCACCTTTTGGCTTAAACCTTTAGGGCCCTTGAGCTTTTCGTGGCGACGACCAAAAGGATCCAGCCGAGATTCAAACTTATTTCCCTTTTGTGGGTAAACTATGGTAAACTTCTTCTCTCCTTTTGTTGTGCCTGAACCTGACTAACTGTTGGTCAACTTGCAGCACGCACGAAAAACCTTATACCTGAAAACTGTTGACCAACTTCCAGTAAACACGAAAAAACCCTTACCCCAAACAACTAGGTTTCACACAACTGTTGATCACCCCAAGGGCTAGGAATATCTTTCTGGTGACATTTAGATTTTGATCCTGGCGACCTCCAGCCATGGCACCGAGGATGTTGGAGCAGCCGGGAGGCGGAGGAGCCGCGCAGCCCGCAGATCTGCCACGGATGTCAGTTGACATGGCAGGGATGGTAAGATGCTAAGGTCAGATGGAAACAACCGGATGATGGAGATATGTGACACCTTACCTGAACTCCACATTGATCCTTTTCCTGCAGCCATTTGGGTTGGTTTTCCTGTTTCACTTCCATGACATTCCATGACCATTTCGAGTTCAAGTTCTGAGGCGAGCTCCGAAACTTCGGAGACTGGAACGTCTTCAGGAGATCCATCGGTCCGAAAACCCTGGTGCCGATGGTTGCCCCGATCGTACCTGCTGGTCTTGGTGATCAATGCCACTGCGACCCTTCTGCTGTGGCCTGGTGATGTTCAGTATGTTGATCCCTGTCCACTCAAGTTTCGTCTCTTCTTCTTTGGGCTGATGCTGTCGAGTTTTGGAGCCGGCTGCGTAGCAGCCTTTCTGGTGAGAAGGGCTGAAGCATCAGATCATACAAAGTGGGCCTGTGGCTATGCCATAATCAACTGGATTCAAGCCATGTTGGGTTCGATGGGAATGGAGGAGCCAGGGGGAAGGTACTGCAGGTATGGAGTGATACCAGAAGGAGATACCAGGTATTGGGCACTTGAATTCTGCCGATGGCTGCTGTATCTCGTTGCTTCCTGCTGGATGCAGACGCTCATCGCTTCACGGCTGGATCTCCTGGAGCAATCTTCGAATCGGAACTACCGCAGTAGCTGCTTTCGCAGACTGATGTGGGCCCAAGTCTTTGGGGCAGCAGGGGTTTTGCTTCCCATTGCGTTCTTGGTCTATACGATCATGCGGGGTGGGTACTCTTGGGGTACAGCTTTGACCAGTCTGATCGCAATAGGAGGCATCACATTGCTGTGCAATTGGGCAGCGAGCATAGTGGCCATTTGCTCTTTCCGAAAGTCTTACTCGGAGCTGCGGAGGATTTGTCGCCTGGCAGAAGCGAACGAGGCCTCCATCTCCGCAAGATCTTCCTTGAGACGAGCCCGAAGGTTTGCTGGTTTGCAAGGGTTGGGTGTATCATTTAGCCTCGTGTTCACGCTTCTGCTTGTTCCAGCACGTGTTTGTTCTATGCTTCTGTATCATGAAAGCTATGACGCGTTGACGGTGGTCGTGTTTCTTATTCAAGCTCTTGATGCCCTGGGAGATGCTGTGGCCGTTCTCCTTCTGTCCGGCAGCCACAGGATGGCCAAAGTTGAAAGGAGTCAGGGGAGCCAACGTAGCTGGAAAGTCGAAAAGCCTGAGAATAGCAGAAACCAACAGACTTCACATGAAGATGTGAACTGGACCAGCAAGGTGGAAGAACTTTCAATGCGGGGGATGACTTTGAGGAGCCTCCTGCAGTTCTATCAAGAAAACCTCCCTTCAATGCCAGATTGGAAGTATGCGCCCAGGGAACACAAGACCAGAGATGTGGTCCGAAGAGCGATCATCCCATTGACTAGCAGAGAAGAATGTGCATTCTCAGTTTCAGCTTTCAACAAGGATGGTCCGAAACGGGCACAGGTCATGGTGACCCACAATTGGGGCAACTCGTTCAGCGACCTGCTGGCTGCAGTGCTGTCGGATGCCCTGCAGGAATGCAGTTTCAGCTTGCCAGCAGAACTTCTGCAGGAGGATTGCGCTTTCCTGCAGGACCTTCTGGCGAAAATGGGGAGGTTGGATGAGACGTATTGGATCTGTGCGTTTGCTGTGAACCAACACATCAGCATCTGCCACAGCAACCCGTATGACCGGGATCCTTTCACAAATCAGCTGCACCCAGTGTGCCACTGCAACAGCACAAACATCATTGACTCGGATGGCCGAAGTGCTTCGTCAGAGATCAACAACTTTGATGACATGATGCGTCTTCTTGCCACGACTGGGGGATGCCGACAAGTGATTGCAGTGGACAAACCTCTGGATTTGTTTCGCCGTGCCTGGTGTGTGGCTGAGATTGCGGAAGCCAAACGTTTGCAGATGGACCAGTCATTGAAACTCTGGTCCAAAGCAACGCTGCAAGAACGCGCCCGGACATTGGAAAACCTGGATGTGCGGGAGATGCGTGCCTCCTCGGACAAGGACAAGGAACTCATCCTTGGCAAGATTCAGGATGTAGATGATTTCAATGCCAAGCTTCAAGTGCTCATTTTTGATCCAAAATCAGGCCTTGTTGCCACATGGAATGCCATGGATAGCCTGCAGCAGATTGGTGAAGTGGGCCGGCTCATTCGATGGGGCCTGGCAGATGCAGGCAGTGGAAAAGTGTGGAAAGCATGGGACGGCCACAACTGAATCCATTTTTAAGCACAGCCCATAAGAGGCATGTGCCAGTATCACTTTTGCAACCCGACACCCACAAGAGGCAGCAAAATTCAGTTTGGATAAAATAGATGCAGGACCAGCAAGAGTTTCATGATTTTTGCAAAGTGTTGCAGAAATTCGCAATCCAAACATATCCGACACATCCAAACAACCAGTTGCAGCACGTGCTTGAACTGAAATCCAACCAAAATGGCTATAGTTGGGGTTATAGCCTTCCAGACCGACCCATTTTTTGTGGTTTCAAACTTTCCAGGAGTACGTCTGGAGGGTCGAGGCAGGTGCTATCATCACAGAAACCAACATGTGCCATGGTTCATTCGCCATTTTTGGATTGGGTAAAGGGAACATATGAGAGAGACCACGGTTTTTTTTCCGGTACATCAAGAGGTTTCCTGTGAATGTTCCCATGATCCAATTCTGGGACATTTGATCTTCCAATACATCTAGTGGCATGATCATCTCCCTTAAAACGGTACCGAGTTGGCAAGTGTGATGACGGATTCTTTCCGGCCAACCTAGGGAGCAGGGCACCTTTATAAGCCTGGAAAGAGTCGATCTTCACCCCGTGCACGGGCCTGTGCTGGAAGGCGATGTTGATGATGGGAAAAGAAGAGCTCCAAGTTGGCAGCTTAAACTTCCAGTGCCAGTGACTAGTGTCGGGTGCGGTAGCCACTTTGCGGACCGTACGGATTTACGATGTTCCATATTTATTAGCCTTCCAGGTGCGTTGTTCACAGCATGTTAGACCTCGTGTTGCTCATTACTTATTTCACTTTTTTGTGGGTAAACTATTGTAAACTTCTCTTCTCCTGTTGTTGCACCTGACTACAACTGTTGATCAACTTCCAGTAAACACCGAAACCCTTACCCCAAAAACTCGGTTTCACACAACTGTTGATCACCCCAAGGGCTAGGAATATCTTTCTGGTGACATTCAGATGTTGATCCTGGCGACCTCCAGCCATGGCACCGAGGATGTTTGAGCAACCGGGAGGCGGAGGAGGAGCCGCACAGCCCGCAGATCTGCCACGGAGTGGCCATGCCCACGGCGTCAGTTGATCCCAGCCGTGATGTCGGTTGACATGGCAGGGATGGTAAGATGCTAAGGTAAGACGGAAACAACCGGATGACGGAGATATGAGACACTTGATATGAACTTCACATCGATGTTCCTGCAGCCATTTGGGCTGGTTTTCCTGTTTCACTTCCACGACATTCCATGACCATTTTGAGTTCAAGTTCTGAGGCGAGCTCCGAAACTTCGGAGACTGGAACGTCTTCGGGAGATCCATCGGGCCGAAAACCTTGGTGCCGATGGTTGCCCCGATCGTACCTGTTGGTCTTGGTGATCAATGCCACTGCGACCCTTCTGCTGTGGCCTGCTGAAGCTCAGTATCCTGATTGGTGGTACAATGTTCCTCCTGTCTGTCCACTTAAGATGCGACTCTTCTTCTTTGGGCTGATGCTGTCGAGTTTGGGAGCCGGCTGTGTAGCAGCCTTTCTGGTGAGAAGGGCTGAAGCTTCAGGTCATACAAAGTGGGCCTGTGGCTATGCCATAATCAACTGGATTCAAGCCATGTTGGGCTCACTGGGAATGGACAATCCAGACACGGGGAACTGCAGGTATGGAGTGATACCAGATAGAGTCTCCGGAGGCAAAATTTGGTATTGGGCACTTGCATTGTGCCGATTGCTGCTGTATCTCGTTGCCTCCTTCTGGATGCAGACACTCATCGCTTCACGGCTGGATCTCTTGGAGCAATCTTCCAATCGGAACTACCGCAGCAGCTGCTTTCGCAAACTGATGTGGGCCCAAGTCTTTGGGGCAGCAGTGGTTCTGCTTCCCATTGCGGGCATGATTCATGAGATCATTACGGATAGCTGCATCGGAAGTATCATTTTCGTTACAAGTACCATCAGTCTGATCGCAATAGGAGGCATCACATTGCTGTGCAATTGGGCAGCGAGCATAGTGGCCATTTGCTCTTTCGGAAAGTCTTACTCGGAGCTGCGGAAGATTTGTCGCCTGGCAGAAGCCAATGAGGCGCCTATTTCCGCAAGATCTTCCTTGAGACGAGCCCGAAGGTTTGCTGGTTTGCAAGGGTTGGGTGTATCATTTAGCCTCGTGTTCACGGTTCTGCTCGTTCCAGCACGTGTTGTTTCTATTGCTGTTGCAAACTATGACAGCTATGACGCGTTGACGGTGGTCCTGTTTCTTATTCAAGCTTTTGATGCCCTGGGAAATGCTGTGGCCGTTCTCCTTCTGTCCGGCAGTCACAGGATGGCCAAAGTTGAAAGGAGTCAGGGGAGCCACAGGAGCTGGAAAGTCGAAAAGGCCGAGCATAGCAGAAACCAACAGACTTCGCATGAAGATGTGAACTGGACTAGAAAGGTGGAAGAACTTTCAATGCGGGGGATGACTTTGAGGAGTCTCCTGCAGTTCTATCAAGAAAACCTCCCTTCAATGCCAGATTGGAAATATGCGCCCAGGGAACACAAGACCAGAGATGTGGTCCGAAGAGCAATCATCCCATTGACTAGCAGAGAAGAATGTGCATTCTCAGTTTCAGTTTTCAACAAGGATGGTCCGAAACGGGCACAGGTCATGGTGACCCACAATTGGGGCAACTCGTTCAGCGACCTGCTGGCTGCAGTGCTGTCGGATGCCCTGCAGGAATGCAGTTTCAGCTTGCCAGCAGAACTTCTGCAGGAGGATTGCGCTTTCCTACAGGACCTTCTGGCGAAGATGGGGCGGTTGGATCACACGTATTGGATCTGTGCGTTTGCTGTGAACCAACACATCAGCATCTGCCACAGCAACCCGTATGACCGGGATCCTTTCACAAATCAGCTGCACCCAGTGTGCCACTGCAACAGCACAAACATCATTGACTCGGATGGCCGAAGTGCTTCGTCAGAGATCAACAAGTTTGATGACATGATGCGTCTTCTTGCCACGACTGGGGGATGCCGACAAGTGATTGCAGTGGACAAACCTCTGGATTTGTTTCGCCGTGCCTGGTGCGTGGCTGAGATTGCGGAAGCCAAACGTTTGCAGATGGACCAGTCATTGAAACTCTGGTCCAAAGCAACGCTGCAGGGACGCGCCCGGACATTGGAAAACTTGGATGTGCGGGACATGCGTGCCTCCTCGGAAAAGGACAAGGAACTCATCCTTGGCAAGATTCAGGATGTAGATGATTTCAATGCCAAGCTTCAGGTGCTCATTTTTGATCCAAAATCAGGCCTTGTTGCCACATGGAATGCCATGGATAGCCTGCAGCAGATTGGTGAAGTGGGCCGGCTCATTCGATGGGGCCTGGCAGATGCAGGCAGTGGAAAAGTGTGGAAAGCATGGGATGGCCACAACTGAATCCACTAAGCACAGCCCAGAAGAGGCATGTGCCAATCTCACTTTTGCAACCTGCTACCCGAAAGAGGCAGCAAATTCAGATTGGATGAAATAGATGCAGGACCAGCAAGAGTTTCGTGATTTCCGCAAAGTGTTGCAGAAATTCGCAATCCAAACATATCCAAAATTATCCAAACAACCACTTGAAGCACGTGCTTGAACTGAAATCCAACATCCATTAGATTATCATCATTTTTCCTAGGAAAAGTGGCTACAGATCGACCCATTTTTTGTGGCTTCAAACTTTCCAGGAGTACGTCTGGAGGGTCGAGGCAGGTGATGGCCAACATGTGCCATGGTTCATTCGCCATTTTTAGATTTGGTAAAGGGAACATATGCCAGAAACCAGGCTTTTTCTTTTTCCCGGTACACAAAGAGGTTTCCTGTGAATTTTCCCATGATTCAATTCTGGAACATTTGATCTTCCAATGTTTTTTTTTTCACCTTTTGGCATTCAACATTGGTTTTCAATACATCTAGTGGCACTAGCGGCATGATCATCTCCCAAGTACCGAGGGGTTAGCAAGTGTGATGACGGATTTTTTCCGGCCAACCGGAGCAGGGCACCTTTTGTTGGCCTGGAAAGAGTCGATCCTTCACCCCGCGGCCCTGTGATGGAAGGCGATGTTGACGATGAGGAAAGAAGCGCTCCAAGTCGGCAGCTTAAAGTTCCAGTGCCAGTGACTAGTGTCGGGTGTGGAAGCAACTTTTGCGGACCCTACGGGTTTTATGATGTTGCATATTTATCAGCCTTCCAGGTTTGTTGTTCACAGCATGTTTGACCTCTTGTTGCTGCTCGTGGGTAAACTATTGTAAACTTATCTTCTGTTGTTGCACCTGGCTACAACTGTTGATCAATTGCCAGTGAGCACGAAAAACCTTACCCCAAAAAACTCGGTTTCACATGGTTTCACACAGCTGTTGATCACCCCAAGGGCTTCTGGGAATATCTTTCTGGTGACATTCAGATGTTGATCCTGGCGACTTCCCAGCCATGGCACTTGAGGATGTTGGAGCAACCGGGAGGCGGAGGAGCCCATGCCCACGGCGTCAGTTGATCCCAGCCGTGATGTCAGTTGACAAAGCAGGGATGGTAAGATGCTAAGGTAAGACGGAAACAACCGGATGACGGAGATATGTGACACTTTACATGAACTTCACATCGATTTTCCTGCAGCCATTTGGGCTGGTTTTCCTGTTTCACTTCCACGGCATTCCATGACCATGTCGAGTTCAAGTTCTGAGGCGAGCTCCGAAACTTCGGAGACTGGACAGTCTTCAGGAGATCCATCGGTCCGAAAACCTTGGTGCCGATGGTTGCCCCGATCGTACCTCCTGGTCTTGGTGATCAATGCCACTGCGACCCTTCTGCTGTGGCCTGCTGATGGTTTGGATCCCTGTCCACTTAAGATGCGACTCTCCTTCTTTGGGCTGATGCTGTCGAGTTTCGGAGCGGGCTGTGTAGCAGCCTTTCTGGTGAGAAGGGCTGAAGCTTCAGGTCATACAAAGTGGGCCTGTGGCTATGCCATAATCAACTGGATTCAAGCCATGTTGGGCTCACTGGGAATGAACAATCCACTGTGGGGGTACTGGCAATGCACGTATGGAGTGATACCAGATAGAGACTCCGGAGGCAAAATTTGGTATTCTGCACTTGCATGCTGCCGATTGCTGCTGTATCTCGTTGCCTCTTTCTGGATGCAGACACTCATCGCTTCACGGCTGGATCTCTTGGAGCAATCTTCCAATCGGAACTACCGCAGTGGCTGCTTTCGCAGACTGATGTGGGCGCAAGTCTTTGGGGCAGCAGTGGCTCTGCTTCCCATTGCGTGCCTGCTCTTTTGTTTCAGTGTTTTTTTTGTTTTTTTGTCTGCCATTGTTTGTACTGCAGGTTGGATCAGTCTGATCGCAATAGGAGGCATCACATTGCTGTGCAATTGGGCAGCGAGCATAGTGGCCATTTGCTCTTTCCGAAAGTCTTACTCGGAGCTGCGGAGGATTTGTCGCCTGGCAGAAGCCAATGAGGCGCCTATCTCTGCAAGATCTTCCTTGAGACGAGCCCGAAGGTTTGCTGGTCTGCAAGGGTTGGGTGTATCATTTGGCCTCGTGTTCACGCTTCTGCTCGTTCCAGCACGTGTTTTTTCTATGCTTCTGCCTTATGGCTATGACTCTTTGCAGGTGGTCTTGTTTCTTATTCAAGCTTTTGATGCCCTGGGAAATGCTGTGGCCGTTCTCCTTCTGTCCGGCAGCCACAGGATGGCCAAAGTTGAAAGCAGTCAGGGGAGCCAGTGTGGCTCGAAAGTCGAAAAGCCTGAGCATAGCAGAAACCAACAGACTTCACATGAAGATGTGAACTGGACTAGAAAGGTGGAAGAACTTTCAATGCGGGGGATGACTTTGAGGAGCCTCCTGCAGTTCTATCAAGAAAACCTCCCTTCAATGCCAGATTGGAAATATGCGCCCAGGGAACACAAGACCAGAGATGTGGTCCGAAGAGCGATCATCCCATTGACAAGTAGCGAAGAATGCGCATTCTCAGTTTCAGCTTTCAACAAGGAAGGTCCGAAACGGGCACAGGTCATGGTGACCCACAATTGGGGCAACTCGTTCAGCGACCTGCTGGCTGCAGTGCTGTCGGATGCCCTGCAGGAATGCAGTTTCAGCTTGCCAGCAGAACTTCTGCAGGAGGAGTGCGCTTTCCTGCAGGACCTTCTGGCGAAGATGGGGCGGTTGGACGACACGTATTGGATCTGTGCTTTTGCTGTGAACCAACACATCAGCATCTGCCACAGCAACCCGTATGACCGAGATCCTTTCACAAATCAACTGCACCCAGTGTGCCAGTGCAACAGCACAAACATCATTGACTCGGATGGCCGAAGTGCTTCGTCAGAGATCAACAAGTTTGATGACATGATGCATCTTCTTGCCACGACTGGGGGATGCCGACAAGTGATTGCAGTGGACAAACCTCTGGATTTGTTTCGCCGTGCCTGGTGCGTGGCTGAGATTGCGGAAGCCAAACGTTTGCAGATGGACCAGTCATTGAAACTCTGGTCCAAAGCAACGCTGCAAGAACGTGCCCGGACATTGGAAAACCTGGATGTGCGGGACATGCGTGCCTCCTCGGACAAGGACAAGGAACTCATCCTTGGCAAGATTCAGGATGTAGATGATTTCAATGCCAAGCTTCAAGTGCTCATTTTTGATCCAAAATCAGGCCTTGTTGCCACATGGAATGCCATGGATAGCCTGCAGCAGATTGGTGAAGTGGGCCGGCTCATTCGATGGGGCTTGGCAGATGCAGGCAGTGGAAAAGTGTGGAAAGCATGGGACGGCCACAACTGAATCCATTTTTAAGCACAGCCCAGAAGAGGCATGTGCCAATCTCACTTTTGCGATCTGCCACCCACAAGAGGCAGCAAATTCAGATTGGATAAAATAGATGCATGACCAGCAAGAGTTTCGTGATTTTTGCAAAGTGTTGCAGAAATTCGCAATCCAAACATATCCGACACATCCAAACAACCAGTTGCAGCACTTGGTTGAACTGAAATCCAACCAAAATCCGTTAGATTGTCATCATTTTCCCTCTGAAAGATGGCTATAGTTGGGTCATAGCCTTCCAAACCGACCCATTTTTTGTGGCTTCAAACTTTCCAGGAGTCTCTACGTCTGGAGGGTCGAGGCAGGCGCTATCATCACGGAAACCAACATGTGCCATGTTTCATTCGCCATTTTTGGATTGGGTAAAGGGAACATATGCCAGAAACCACGATTTTTCCCGGTACATCAAGAGGTTTCCGGAAAATTTTCCAATGATCCAATTCTGGGACATTTGATCCGGCATTCAACGGTGGCTTTCAACAAATTTTCAATGGTTTTTCAGGGGCGTGCATGGCATGATCATCTCCCTGAAAACGGTACCGAGTTGGCAAGTGTGATGAAGGATTCTTTCCGGCCAGCCTAGGGAGCAGGGCACCTTTATAAGCCTGGAAAGAGTCGATCTTCACCCCGTGCACGGGCCTGTGCTGGAAGGCGATGTTGACGATGGGAAAAGAAGAGCTCCAAGTTGGCAGCTTAAAGTTCCACTGCCAGTGACTAGTGTCGGGTGTGGAAGCAACTTTTGCGGACCCTACGGGTTTTATGATGTTGCATATTTATCAGCCTTCCAGGTGCGTTGTTCACAGCATGTTATACCTTGTGTTGCTCATTACTTATTTTACTTTTTGTGGGTAAACTATGGCAAATTTCTTCTCTCCTGTTGTTGCACCTGACTACAACTGTTGATCAATTGCCAGTGAGCACGAAAAACCTTATACCTGAAAACTGTTGATCAACTTCCAGTAAACACCAAAAACCTTACCCCAAAAAACTCGGTTTCACACAGCTGTTGATCACCCCAAGGGCTTCTAGGATTCTAGATATATGTTTCTGGTGGTTTCTCTGTGACAGTCAGATTTTGATAAATTTGGCGACTTCCCAGCCATGGCACTGAGGATGTTGGAGCAACCGGGAGGCGGAGGAGCCCACGGAGGGATGGTAAGATGCTAAGGTCAGATGGAAACAACCGGATGACGCAGATATGAGACACTTAACATGAACTTCACATCGATGTTCCTGCAGCCATTTGGGCTGGTGTTCCTGTTTCACTTCCACGACATTCCATGACCATTTTGAGTTCAAGTTCTGAGGCGAGCTCCGAAACTTCGCAGACTGGAACGTCTTCAGATCCATCGGGCCGAAAACCTTGGTGCCGATGGTTGCCCCGATCGTACCTGGTGGTCTTGGTGATCAATGCCACTGCGACCCTTCTGCTGTGGCCTGCTGCTGAGTGGGGTTCACATTCCTGTCCACTCAACTTTCGACTTTTCTTCTTTGGGCTGATGCTGTCGAGTTTGGGAGCCGGCTGTGTAGCAGCCTTTCTGGTGAGAAGGGCTGAAGCTTCAGGTCATACAAAGTGGGCCTGCGGCTATGCCATAATCAACTGGATTCAGGCCATGTTGGGCTCACTGGGGATGAACAATCCAGGGGGAGGGTGGTGCAGGTATGGAGTGATACCACTGAGAGCCTTCGGAGGCGAGATTTGGTATTCTGCGCTTGCATGCTGCCGATTGCTGCTGTATCTCGTTGCCTCTTTCTGGATGCAGACGCTCATCGCTTCACGGCTGGATCTCTTGGAGCAATGCTCGAATCGGAACTACCGCAGTGGCTGCTTTCGCAAACTGATGTGGGCCCAAGTCTTTGGGGCAGCAGTGGCTCTGCTTCCCATTGTGGGCGTGGTCTATGGCATCAACAGGCTGTACAGTGGAATTGTCTGGGAAACAAGTTGGCCCAGTCTGTGCGCAATAGGAGGCATCACATTGCTGTGCAATGTGGCAGCGAGCATCTTGGCCATTTGCTCTTTCCGAAAGTCTTACTTGGAGCTGCGGAGGATTTGTCGCCTGGCAGAAGCCAATGAGGCGCCTATCTCCGCAAGATCTTCCTTAAGACGAGCCCGAAGGTTTGCTGGTTTGCAAGGGTTGGGTGTATCATTTAGCCTCCTCTTCACGCTTCTGCTTGTTCCAGCACGTGTTAGTTCTATGCTTCTGGGTTATGACGATGACGCGTTGGCCGTTGTCTTGTTTCTGATTCAAGCTTTTGATGCCCTGGGAAATGCTGTGGCCGTTCTCCTTCTGTCCGGCAGTCACAGGATGGCCAAAGTTGACAGGAGTCAGGGGAGCCAACGTAGCTGGAAAGTCGAAAAGCCTGAGCATAGCAGAAACCAACAGACTTCGCATGAAGATGTGAACTGGACCAGAAAGGTGGAAGAACTCTCAATGCGGGGGATGACTTTGAGGAGCCTCCTGCAGTTCTATCAAGAAAACCTACCTTCGATGCCAGATTGGAAATATGCGCCCAAGGAACACAAAACCAGAGATGTGGTCCGAAGAGCGATCATCCCATTGACTAGCAGCGAAGAATGCGCATTCTCAGTTTCAGCTTTCAACAAGGATGGTCCGAAACGGGCACAGGTCATGGTGACCCACAACTGGGGCAACTTGTTCAGCGACCTGCTGGCTGCAGTGCTGTCGGATGCCCTGCAGGAATGCAGTTTCAGCTTGCCAGCAGAACTTCTGCAGGAGGAGTGCGCTTTCCTACAGGACCTTCTGGCGAAAATGGGGCGGTTGGATCACACGTATTGGATCTGTGCGTTTGCTGTGAACCAACACATCAGCATCTGCCACAGCAACCCGTATGACCGGGATCCTTTCACAAATCAGCTGCACCCAGTGTGCCACTGCAACAGCACAAACATCATTGACTCGGATGGCCGAAGTGCTTCGTCAGAGATCAACAAGTTTGATGACATGATGCGTCTTCTTGCCACGACTGGGGGATGCCGACAAGTGATTGCAGTGGACAAACCTCTGGATTTGTTTCGCCGTGCCTGGTGCGTGGCTGAGATTGCAGAAGCCAAACGTTTGCAGATGGACCAGTCATTGAAACTCTGGTCCAAAGCAACGCTGCAAGAACGTGCCCAGACATTGGAAAACCTGGATGTGCGAGACATGCGTGCCTCCTCCGAAAAGGACAAGGAACTCATCCTTGGCAAGATTCAGGATGTAGATGATTTCAATGCCAAGCTTCAAGTGCTCATTTTTGATCCAAAATCAGGCCTTGTTGCCACATGGAATGCCATGGATAGCCTGCAGCAGATTGGTGAAGTGGGCCGGCTCATTCGATGGGGCCTGGCAGATGCAGGCAGTGGAAAAGTGTGGAAAGCATGGGACAGCCACAACTGAATCCACTAAGCACAGCCCAGAAGAGGCATGTGCCAATCTCACTTTTGCGATCTGCCACCCGAAAGAGGCAGCAAATTCAGATTGGAACCAGCAAGAGTTTCGTGATTTTTGCAACGTGTTGCAGAATCTGACAATCCAAACATATCCAAACAACCAATTGAAGCACGTGCTTGAACTGAAACCCAACCAACATCCATTAGATTATCATCATTTTTCCTATGAAAGATGGCTATAGTTGGCTGAATCCACTAAGCACAGCCCAGAAGAGGCATGTGCCAATCTCACTTTTGCGATCTGCCACCCACAAGAGGCAGCAAATTCAGATTGGATAAAATAGATGCATGATCAGCAAGGGTTTCGTGATTTTTGCAAAGTGTTGCAGAATCTGACAATCCAAACATATCCAACCAACCAATTGAAGCACGTGCTTGAACTGAAACCCAACCAACATCCATTAGATTATCATCATTTTTCCTATGAAAGATGGCTATAGTTGGCTGAATCCACTAAGCACAGCCCAGAAGAGGCATGTGCCAGCATCACTTTTGCGATCTGCCACCCGAAAGAGGCAGCAAATTCAGATTGGATAAAATAGATGCAGGACCAGCAAGAGTTTCTTGATTCACCGGCACAAAGTGTTTGCAGACATTCTTTATGCAAACAAACAATTGGAGCACTTGGTTGAAAATTTTTGCGGGTTCAAACTTTCCAGGAGTCTCTGCGTTTGGTTGTTGAGCGGACGGAAGACATAGAACGCCTACTCCGGCGGAAGGGTCGAGGTGGGGTGGCAGCCTTGTGATGTTTCGCCTATTGATCTTCTATTTTTTTTTGGTGGGATGGAGTTTCAGAGCTCTGAAAATAGACAATTTAAGATATTTTAAGTGGATAGGGCAAGTGTCCAATTTCAAACGCAGAATTCAAAACCTGCTTGCAGGGAAAGAGTGAAGCACTTCCATTTCAAACCGATTTATGGAACTCTCAGGTTGAAGTTTTTCCCCACCTGCCAGGTGAGGGTTGTTAGATTTTATGTCAGTTGCCTCCTCCTGCCTCGTCCTCCTCCTCCTCCTCTCCTCCTCTCCTCCTCTCCTCTCCTCGTCTCCTCTCCTCTCCTCTCCTCCTCTCCTCTCCTCCTCCTCCTGCTCAACCGCGACCCTCGAAGCACAGTGTTCTCTGTCGGACCTCAACCACGACCATCCACGCCCAGTGTTCCCTGCCGGACCTCAACCACGACCATCCCCGCCAGTGTTCCCTGCCGGACCTCAACCACGACCATCCATGCCCAGTGTTCCCTGCCGGACCTCAACCGCGAGTATCCCCGCCCAGTGTTCCCTGCCGGACCTTAACCACGACCATCCACGCCCAGTGTTCCCTGCCGGACCTCAACCGCGAGTATCCACGCCAAAAAATATGCCACATAGAGTGCCAGAAGATATGCCAGATAGAATGTTAGAAGATATGCCAGATAGAATGCCAGAAGGTATGCCAGATAGAATGCCAGATAGAATGTCAGCTAGAATGCCAGAAGATATGCCAGATAAAGTGCCAGAATGTTTTCCAGATAGAATGCCAGCAGATTTGCCAGATAATATGCCAGAAGATATGCTAGATAGAATGCCAGATGGAATGCCAGAAGATTTGCCAGAAGATATGCCAGATAGAATGCCAGATGGAATGCCAGAAGATATGCCAGAACATATGCCAGAAGATATGCCAGAGCATCTGCCAGAAGATATGCCAGAACATCTGCCAGAAGATTTGCCAGGTAGAATGCCAGAAGATATGCCAGATAGAATGCCAGATCGAATGCCAGAAAATATGTCAGATAGAATGCCAGAAGATTTGCCAGTAACAAAATGTATAAATGTCATGGTGGGGATCACACGAAGTAAAGTAATTTTTTTTCCTCTGCCTGCCTTCAGACAGCGACAGATGGGCCCTGCAGCGCAGGAGCAGTCTCAACGACCAGCTCAGTTGCTGGCGGCGCTGAAATATCCAGGATGGGTCCTTTTTTAAGGACCTGGATGGTTTAGTACGTGCCAACATTATCTTGGATGATGGCCGTGTCACATGCTGAAGACTCGAATGGATCCAGCCACATGGTTGGCCAAGGGATGATGCGATGCTCTTGGGATGTGGTGATTACTAGTGATTACCATGAACATCATGTGAATTACTATGGATTGGATTGGATTGGTACGTTGGGAGGTGAGGAAGCCGAAAGATCCTCAAAGTGTCTAGTGACTGAATAGGATGTGAATCAGGATGGCAGGATGGCGGGCACAATGTGACATGAAACGTGGCAGTTCGCTGTGGTTTGAACTAAGTCTTGTCAGTCACAGCGCGACAGTGGCCATTTTGTGGCCATCAGGATTTTGGAATCTGAAACAATGTTTCTCTGAAACATCAGAATGATCCTCAATGGTCTAGTTCAGCTTGTATCGTCACGAATTTCGACATGCAGCTGTGGTCTTATTGCTTGACTCTTCCACACCATTCCAACAGCCACTGGCAGGAGCTGGTAGAGATGGCCATTCAGAAGATGACTGCGTGGCAAAGTTACAGGCGGGTGCGCCGGTTGAGCCCAGAGCCACGAACGTAACTGGTTGGTGAAATGTTGGTGAAATACCGAGGAAAAAAAACCCTAATTTCATAGGGATTAAATTTGAGAAATGCTGAAATCATAGTGAAAGTGGAAAAAACGGATCCAATCTTTGAACACGCTCTACACGGGGCCGGCAGACGGATTTTCTTATGGCCAATCGTTTGAACTGTGCCATGGGAGACATGCTCCCAGATCATCATTGCCTGACATATTATCCATACAATCCCCTAATTCTTCCCGCAGTTCCACCAAAATCCTGGCCTATATATACAATTATACACACCCAATTCAATGGATTATTTATGATGACATGAGGATTCGTATCCAAACCCATCCCCCAACCAAGGCTATCCAATCATTCTACGAGGTATATGCAGGGTTTTGATCTACACACATAGAGCACCACCGGGTCTGTCTCCCCGATAGGAGTCACAGCAGGAGGTGAACGAGAAGCGCGAAATCTCAAGGACACTCGCCCCAGTAGAGGATAAACCTGGTAGTTTGATGGCCGCCCTTTCCCCCTATGAAATACCACCCAAAACCCCTGGCGAGTTGCATTGGATCTATTCACTTTGGGTATCATATGGGGGGCATTTAATTTTTTTTGGGATGGAATGTCTTGAATTTCCTGCGGTAAATGGGGAGGATTGCAAAACCAGCCGTGAGAAGCGGGGGAGCACTGCCTCCCCCGAGAATGACCCCCCACTGGGCCTGGTCCAGGTGCCACTTATTGCCATAGGAGGTTTGACTCATGGCCAGAGATGTTTTTTTGGGCGGAAACCCATAGGGTTGTGTACCTTCATGATCCAAGCAAGGTATGGTGATCGGAGGTGTTTGGGGATCAAGGAATGCAACGATGTTTTGATACCTTGAGTTAAATGGTGCGGTAAGAGGTTACACAATTTTTGCTAGCCAGAAATCAGTCCAATTTTCCCACGAGCTTATTTGCCGATGCATTGGGCAAAGTTCAATGCACGCAGATGGGAATTGAAACATACGCCCAAAGATGCCACCAAAAGTGGGCTTCAGACTTGTATTTTCATTGGGAACTTAGGGTTTTTGCCGACCCATTGCTATTTCCACTTCAACTTCTGGACCCCAGAGTGATGGTCATTGATAGTCGAGCCACATGTCTCAAGGTACGTGAACGAAGTGACAGGCGTGGAAAGCTGCCGGCATGGCCGTCAGATGCTACAACTATGATTTGATATGAGATTCGACATATTTTGACATCATTTGTGCCGCGTAAAGTCCTTGGGAAACAGTTGTGATGGTGGATATTCATGGTGGAATTCGGTAGGATTCCCACCGAAACCAGTTACTTAGTTACTTCTCATATTTTTGCGGCCGCCAGCGGCACATGGCAGGAATTGGCAGACACAGATTGGAGGCCCGGTGATGCTGGAGAATCAAGCAGACGATATGGGTTTGTCTGAGAGGGCACCCCAACATCCAGTGGATAATCATCACTGATCATCATTTTTTCTCATCTTGGAGATATACCCCTACCCCCTCAGACAAAGCCCAGAATACGTTTCGCTTGGGCCAAGCGCTTCTTCCGTCACCCAGTGCAGAGGCTTCGTTCTGTGATCCCACAGAATCATGCCGGGTAAAAAGCGTCTGGCAATCTGGCAATGGAAAACCATTCCTATTTATATCAATATATATATATATTTATATATCAATATAAATCAATATTTTATATCATTTTATATGCCTATCTACAGAATCTTTCCGATTCTTCTGGATTACCAGAGGCTGCGTCCCGTTGACGCTGATCAAGCCCCAAGAGAGGCCCACCAGCTCTCTGTCGAGCGACTGGAGCACTTGGAAGGGTCAGGGCGCCCCAGCGGTTGAGCCCATGATTCACCAGCTAAGCATGGGTTGGACCGGGTTGGGTCAACATCGAGGCCACAGTTTTGAAGCCATCGTTTCATATCATTTCCTCATCACAGATACAGATTTGTAATATATATATAATCATATAATATAATATGTCATATCTGCTTATACGCTGGGCTACAGTGGCTACAGAATGATGTTCCATATCTATCAGCCCTCCAAGTTTGTTGCTCACAGCATGTTAGGCGGCTACAACTGTTGATCAATTTCCAGTAAACACCGAAACCCTTACCCCAAAAAACTCGGTTTCACACAGCTGTTGATCACCCCAAGGGCTTCTAGGATTCTAGATATATGTTTCTGGTGGTTTCTCTGTGACAGTCAGATTTTGATAAATTTGGCGACTTCCCAGCCATGGCACCGAGGATGTTAGAGCAGCCGGGAGGCGGAGGAGCCGCGCAGCTCGCAGATCTGCCATTGTGTCAGTTGACTTTGCACGGAGGGATGGTAAGATGCTAAGGTAAGACGGAAGCAACCGGATGACGGAGATATGAGACACTTACCTGAACTTCACATCGATGTTCCTGCAGCCATTTGGGCTGGTTTTCCATGGTTTTCCTGTTTCAGTTCCACGGCATTCCATGACCATGTCGAGTTTGGCATCTGAGGCGAGCTCCGAAACTTCGGAGACTGGACAGTCTTCAGGAGATCCATCGGGCCGAAAACCTTGGTGCCGATGGTTGCCCCGATCGTACCTGGTGGTCTTTGTCATCAATGCCACTGCGACCCTTCTGCTGTGGCCTGCTGATATTGAGTATCATCCTGATCCCCGGTACAATCCTCAGTGGTGGGACGATGATCCTCCTGTCTGTCCACTTAAGATGCGACTCTTCTTCTTTGGGCTGATGCTGTCGAGTTTGGGAGCCGGCTGTGTAGCAGCCTTTCTGGTGAGAAGGGCTGAAGCTTCAGGTCATACAAAGTGGGCCTGCGGCTATGCCATAATCAACTGGATTCAGGCCATGTTGGGCTCACTGGGGATGACCAATCCAGACCGTGGGTACTGCAGGTATGGAGTGATACCAGATAGAGACTCCGGAGGCACATTTTGGTATTTGGCACTTGCATTGTGTCGATTGCTGCTGTATCTCGTTGCTTCCTTCTGGATGCAGACACTCATCGCTTCACGGCTGGATCTCTTGGAGCAATCTTCGAATCGGAACTACTGCAGTAGCTGCTTTCGCAGACTGATGTGGGCCCAAGTCTTTGGGACAGCGGTGGCTCTGCTTCCCATTGCGGGCATGGTTCATGAGATCATTACGGGTGATATCTACGGCGAAAGTAACATTTTCGTTACAAGTGCCTGGAGTCTGTTCACAATAGGAGGCATCACATTGCTGTGCAATTGGGCAGCGAGCATCGTGGCCATTTGCTCTTTCCAAAAGTCTTATTTGGAGCTGCGGAGGATTTGTCGCCTGGCAGAAGCCAATGAGGTGCCGATCTCCGCACGATCTTCCTTGAGACGAGCCCGAAGGTTTGCTGGTTTGCAAGGGTTGGGTGTATCATTTGGCCTCGTGTTTACGGTTCTGCTCGTTCCAGCACGTCTTGTTTCTCTTGTTGTTGCAAGCGCTGACAGCTATGACGACTCTTTGAAGGTGGTCTTGTTTCTTATTCAAGCTCTTGATGCCCTCGGAAATGCTGTGGCCGTTCTCCTTCTGTCCGGCAGTCACAGGATGGCCAAAGTTGAAAGGAGTCAGGGGAGCCAATGTGGCTGCTGGAAAGTCGAAAAGCCTGAGCATAGCAGAAACAAACAGACTTCACATGAAGATGTGAACTGGACCAGAAAGGTGGAAGAACTTTCAATGCGGGGAATGACTTTGCGGAGCCTCTTGCAGTTCTATCCAGAAAACCTCCCTTCAATGCAAGATTGGAAATATGTGCCCAAGGAACACAAGACCAGAGATGTGGTCCGAAGAGCAATCATCCCATTGACTAGTAGAGAAGAATGTGCGTTCTCAGTTTCAGCTTTCAACAAGGATGGTCCGAAACGGGCACAGGTCATGGTGACCCACAATTGGGGCAACTCGTTCAGCGACCTGCTGGCTGCAGTGCTGTCGGATGCCCTGCAGGAATGCAGTTTCAGCTTGCCAGCAGAACTTCTGCAGGAGGATTGCGCTTTGCTGCAGGACCTTCTGGCGAAAATGGGGCGGTTGGATGAGACGTACTGGATCTGTGCGTTTGCTGTCAACCAGCACATCAGCATCTGCCACAGCAACCCGTATGACCGGGATCCTTTCACAAATCAGCTGCACCCAGTGTGCCACTGCAACAGCACAAACATCATTGACTCGGATGGCCGAAGTGCTTCGTCAGAGATCAACAAGTTTGATGACATGATGCGTCTTCTTGCCACGACTGGGGGATGCCGACAAGTGATTGCAGTGGACAAATCCCTGGATTTGTTTCCCCTCGGGGGGGGGGCGCGGCGGTTTCACCGGCGCGCGGGAATTAACCTGATTATAAATACCTCCCGACCTGACTACAGCATTGGTTCTGGTGCACATGGCGCTTTCCTAGCCGAGTTCTTTGGCCATACAAGCTGGGGTTCAATTCCTCTGGAGACATGGTGCGGCTTGGGGTTCGATTCCCCTGGAGACATGGTGCGGCTTGGGGTTCGATTCCCCTTTAGCATGGTGCGGCTTGGGGTTCAATTCCCTTGGAGACATGGTGCAGCTCGGGGTTCGATTCCCCTGGAAACATGGTGAGGCTTGGAGGCTTGAACTTTGGTGCGGTTGGTGCCAACTGCCGAGGACTTTGCTGTGTCATGCATGCCGGGCTTGCGCCCGCATTCATGCCAATTCGTTTCTTGTAGAGATGCAATTTTTGCTGTCCCTTTTGTCTTGGGGTCTCATGACTGGTTTTCTTTTGCAGATTTTGAAAGCCCAGATCGTGGGGGTCTTGGGCCCCTCCATATGTCAGCCTTGCTATCGATGTCCTTCGCTCTGGCTTGGCCGTAATTCACTGCTACTTGGCCGGTTGGTGGCTCATTCTCCCGCTGCTCTTTCGCGCGGCGCCATGCCTGAGATGTTCATCGCACACCTGCGATCTTTAGGATCGCTTGCACGAGCGCGTGTGGCTCTTATGGCTGCTTAACCACAGCTTCGGCTGGCAGGTTGTATGTCTCTTTTCATTCATTCATTCATTCATCCTGGATTTGTTTCGCCGTGCCTGGTGCGTGGCTGAGATTGCGGAAGCCAAACGTTTGCAGATGGACCAGTCATTGAAACTCTGGTCCAAAGCAACGCTGCAAGAACGTGCCCGGACATTGGAAAACCTGGATGTGCGGGACATGCGTGCCTCCTCGGACAAGGACAAGGAACTCATCCTTGGCAAGATTCAGGACGTAGATGATTTCAATGCCAAGCTTCAAGTGCTCATTTTTGATCCAAAATCAGGCCTTGTTGCCACATGGAATGCCATGGATAGCCTGCAGCAGATTGGTGAAGTGGGCCGGCTCATTCGATGGGGCCTGGCAGATGCAGGCAGTGGAAAAGTGTGGAAAGCATGGGACGGCCACAACTGAATCCATTTTTAAGCACAGCCCAGAAGAGGCACGTGCCAATCTCACTTTTGCAACCTGACACCCACAAGAGGCAGCAAATTCAGACTGGATAAAATAGATGCTGGACCAGCAAGAGTTTCATGATTTGGGTCAAGTGTTGCAGAAATTCGCAATCCAAACATATCCAAACAACCACTTGCAGCACTTGGTTGAACTGAAATCCAACCAAAATCCATTAGATTATCATCATTTTCCCTCTGAAAAATGGCTATAGTTGGGGTTATAGCCATCCAGACCGACCCATTTTTTGTGGTTTCAAACTTTCCAGGAGTACGTCTGGAGGGTCGAGGCAGGTGATGGCCTGGCGCTATCACGGAAACCAACATGTGCCATGTTTCATTCGCCATTTTTGGATTGGGTAAAGGGAACATATGAGAGAGACCAGGTTTTTTCCCGGTACAGAAAAAGTTTTCTGTGAATTTTCCCATGATTCAATTCTGGAACATTTGATCTTCCAATGCTTTTTTTTTTTCCTTTTGGCATTCAACATTGGTTTTCAATACATCTAGTGGCACTAGCGGCATGATCATCTCCCAAGTACCGAGGGGTTAGCAAGTGTGATGACTGATTTTTTCCGGCCAACCTAGGGAGCAGGGCACCTTTTGTTAGCCTGGAACGAGTCGATACTTCACCCCCCGGCCCTGTGCTGGAAGGCGATGTTGACGATGAGGAAAGAAGCGCTCCAAGTCGGCAGCTTGAACTTCCAGTGCCAGTGACTAGTGTCGGGTGTGGTAGCCACTTTGCGGACACTACGGATTTACGATGTTCCATATTTATCAGCCTTCCAGGTTTGTTGTTCACAGCATGTTAGACCTCGTGTTGCTCGTTACTTATTTCACTTTATGTGGGTAAACTATGGTAAACCTCTTCTCTCCTGTTGTTGCACCTGACTGCAACTGTTGATCAACTTCCAGTGAGCACGAAAAACCTTACCCCAAAAAACTCGGTTTCACACAGCTGTTGATCACCCCAAGGGCTTCTAGGACTATCTTTCTGGTGACATTCAGATCCTGGCGACTTCCCAGACATGGCACTGAGGATGTTGGAGCAACCGGGAGGCGGAGGAGCCCATGCCCACGGCGTCAGTTGATCCCAGCCGTGATGTCAGTTGACTTTGCAGGGATGGGAAGATGCTAAGGTTGACATGACGGAGATATGTGACACTTTACATGAACTTCACATCGATGTTCCTGCAGCCATTTGGGCTGGTTTTCCTGTTGCACTTCCACGACATTCCATGACCATTTCGAGTTCAAGTTCTGAGGCGAGCTCCGAAACTTCGGAGACTGGACAGTCTTCAGGAGATCCATCGGTCCGAAAACCGTGGTGCCGATGGTTGCCCCGATCGTACCTGGTGGTCTTTGTCATCAATGCCACTGCGACCCTTCTGCTGTGGCCTGCTGATATTGAGTATCATCCTGATCCCCGGTACATCATGTCTGTCCACTCAACATGCGACTCTTCTTCTTTGGGCTGATGCTGTCGAGTCTGGGAGCCGGCTGCGTGGCAGCCTTTCTGGTGAGAAGGGCTGAAGCTTCAGGTCATACAAAGTGGGCCTGTGGCTATGCCATCATCAACTGGATTCAAGCCATGTTGGGCTCACTGGGAATGAACAATGCAGGTTATGGGTTGTGCAGGTATGGAGTGATACCAAACCCAGCCTTCAATATTTGGTATTCTGCACTTGCATTCTGCCGATTGCTGCTGTATCTCGTTGCTTCCTTCTGGATGCAGACACTCATCGCTTCACGGCTGGATCTCTTGGAGCAATCTTCCAATCGGAGCTACCGCAGTGGCTGCTTTCGCAGACTGATGTGGGCCCAAGTCTTTGGGGCAGCAGGGGTTTTGCTTCCCATTGCGGGCGTGCTCTTTTATTCGGCCTACAACAATAGTAACAATGTTACAAGTATCATCATTTTCGCTACAAGTATGTGGAGCCTGATCGCAATAGGAGGCATCACATTGCTGTGCAATTGGGCAGCGAGCATCGTGGCCATTTGCTCTTTCCGAAAGTCTTATTCGGAGCTGCGGAGGATTTGTCGCCTGGCAGAAGCCAATGAGGCGCCTATCTCCGCAAGATCTTCCTTAAGACGAGCCCGAAGGTTTGCTGGCTTGCAAGGGTTGGGTGTATCATTTAGCCTCCTGTTCACGGTTCTGCTCGTTCCAGCACGTGTTTTTTCTGCTGTCTTGTATGGCTATGACTCTTTGAAGGTAGTCTTGTTTCTTATTCAAGCTTTTGATGCCCTGGGAAATGCTGTGGCCGTTCTCCTTCTGTCCGGCAGCCACAGGATGGCCAAAGTTGAAAGGAGTCAGGGGAGCCAATGTGGCTGCTGGAAAGTCGAAAAGGCCGAGCATAGCAGAAACCAACAGACTTCGCATGAAGATGTGAACTGGACTAGAAAGGTGGAAGAACTTTCAATGCGGGGGATGACTTTGCGTAGCCTCCTGCAGTTCTATCAAGAAAACCTACCTTCGATGCCGGATTGGAAATATGCGCCCAAGGAACACAAGACCAGAGATGTGGTCCGAAGAGCGATCATCCCATTGACTAGCAGAGAAGAATGCGCATTCTCAGTTTCAGCTTTCAACAAGGATGGTCCGAAACGGGCACAGGTCATGGTGACCCACAATTGGGGCAACTTGTTCAGCGACCTGCTGGCTGCAGTGCTGTCGGATGCCCTGCAGGAATGCAGTTTCAGCTTGCCAGCAGAACTTCTGCAGGAGGATTGCGCTTTCCTGCAGGACCTTCTGGCGAAAATGGGCCGGTTGGATGAGACATACTGGATATGTGCGTTTGCTGTGAACCAGCACATCAGCATCTGCCACAGCAACCCGTATGACCGGGATCCTTTCACAAATCAGCTGCACCCAGTGTGCCAGTGCAACAGCACAAACATAGTTGACCCGGATGGCCGAAGTGCCTCGTCAGAGATCAACAAGTTTGATGACATGCTGCGTCTTCTTGCCACGACTGGGGGATGCCGGCAGGTCATTGCAGTGGACAAATCCCTGGATTTGTTTCGCCGTGCCTGGTGCGTGGCTGAGATTGCGGAAGCCAAACGTTTGCAGATGGACCAGTCATTGAAACTCTGGTCCAAAGCAACGCTGCAGGGACGCGCCCGGACATTGGAAAACTTGGATGTGCGGGACATGCGTGCCTCCTCGGAAAAGGACAAGGAACTCATCCTTGGCAAGATTCAGGATGTAGATGATTTCAATGCCAAGCTTCAGGTGCTCATTTTTGATCCAAAATCAGGCCTTGTTGCCACATGGAATGCCATGGATAGCCTGCAGCAGATTGGTGAAGTGGGCCGGCTCATTCGATGGGGCCTGGCAGATGCAGGCAGTGGAAAAGTGTGGAAAGCATGGGAAAGCCACAACTGAATCCACTTTTTAAGCACAGCCCAGAAGAGGCATGTGCCAGTATCACTTTTGCAACCTGCCACCCGAAAGAGGCAGCAAATTCAGATTGGACCAGCAATAGTTTCGTGATTTTTGCAAAGTGTTGCAGAATCTGACAATCCAAACATATCCAAACAACCAATTGAAGCACGTGCTTGAACTGAAATCCAACCAGCATCCATTAGATTATAAATGGGCTAACGCCCTGGTGCCGCCGACCCCCATTTTGAGGCCATGGTTATCCGATGTTATCCTAGATGTTTCCATATTTGTAATTTGTCCCAAAGTCATTTTCTAGTGATTCTGTGCTGTTTCAACACGAATAGAAGATGGGGCTCTTTAGTTATAAGTCGGTATATAATCACGTTATAGACAGTTATACCTACCATAAACCACACGAAGCGAGTGATGAACCAATGCGGCTATCATGTGAGGGCCCTATGCTATAGCATGTATATGCCTGTATGGGGGCGCTTGGCAGTGGAAAGAAAGGAGCACAGCGACCGAGTACCAAAGTAAGTTGAATGTATGTATGCACCTGCAGCCCCTTGGTACTGTAAGTATCTTTATACTACAGGCTGAGGATTAATTATTAATGATAACCATTCTGGGATATCGGTTACTCTTCCTGAACTGTTTTTTCCCCAACAGCAGAAGCTTTGGGGTCTTCAGCCATAGTAAAGGTTTCGGAGCAGACCGGAGCAGCTCCAAAACCCATTCCCCCAAGGTTCCCAGGTTCCAAGTAAAGGTTCCCAAGTAAAGGTTCCCAGTTAAAGGTTCCCAAGTAAAGGTTCCCAGGTTCCCAAGTAAAGGTTCCCAAGTAAAGGTTCCCAATTAAAGGTTCCCAAGTAAAGGTTCCCAAGGTTCCCTCAAGGTTCCCAAGGTTCCCTCAAGGTTCCCAAGGTTCCCTCAATTCCCAAGGTTCCACAAGGTTCCCTCAAGGTTCCCAAAAGGTTCCCAAAAGGTCCCCAAAAGGTCCCCAAAAGGTTCCCCCAAGGTTCCTTCAAGGTTCCCTGCAAGGTTCCCAAGTTTTCCAAGTAAAGGTTGTCAAGGTTCCCAAGATTATTATGTAAAGGTTCCCAAGTAAACGTTGTCCAGGTTCCCAAGGTGACATTCTAAAGGTTTCTATAAGATTCCCAAGGTTAGATTGTCAAGTTTCGCTCAAGGTTCCCAAAAGGTACCCTCAAGGTTCCTTCAAGGTTTCTTCAAGGTTCCCTGAAGGTTCCCAAGTTTTCCAAGGTTCCCAATTCCCAAGGTTGTATTGTAAAGGTTCCCTCAAGGTTCCCAAGGTTACATTGTAAAAGGTTCTCAAGGGTTCCAAGGTTATATTGCCAAGGTTTCCTCAAGCTTTCCAAGGTTGCATTGTAAAGGTTCCCTCAAGGTTCCCAAGGTTACATTGTAAAGGTTCTCAAGGGTTCCAAGGTTATATTGTCAAGGTTTCCTCAAGCTTTCCAAGGTTGCATTGTAAAGGTTCCCTCAAGATTCCCAAGTTTCCCAAGTAAAGGTTGTCAAGGCTCCCAAGGTTGTATTGTAAAGGTTCCCTCAAGGTTCCTAAGTTTTCCAGGTAAATGTCCTCAAGGCCCCCAAGGTTATTATGTAAAGGTTCCCAAGTAGTAATATTCGTCGTAATATGGCAATTTCTTTAAGAAATTTGAATGCGGCTACACGCGCCGAACCCGCGCAGAACAACACGCGCGGAACCCGCGCAAAACGCAGACGCGCATAACGCACATAACGCGCGGAAACCGCGCGAAACCTAGACGCGCGGAACCCACGCGTACTATTCATACTTCTACTAGTAGTAGTAGTAGTAGTAGTCGTCGTCGTCGTCATCGTCGTAGTAGTAGTGGTAGTTAGTAGTACTAGTAGTGGTCGTAGTAGTAGTAGTAATAATATCGCAGATGTAGTAGAAATGATAGTAATCGCAAAATTGACTACATTATAATTATAGTAAATTAGTAGTAGTCATATTCGTCGTAATAGATTAATTTCTTGAAGAAATTTGAATGCGATGACGCGCGCGGAACCCGCGCAGAACAACACGTGCGCAACCCGCGCAAAGCGCAGACGCGCGTAAACGCAGACGCGCGAAACGCGCGCGTACTATTCATACTTCTAGTAGAAAGTAGTAGTAGTAGTAGTAGTAGTAGTAGTAGTAGTATTAGTATAGTAGTAGTAGTAGTAGTAGTAGTAGCAGTAGTAGTAATAATATCGCAGATGTAGTAGAAATGATATTAATCGTAATATTGATGAATTATAATTAGTAAAAGTAGTAGTAATATTCGTTGTAAAATTTCATTTCTTTAGGAAATTTTAATGCGACGACGCGCGCGGAACCCGCGCAGAACAACACGCGCGGAACCCGCGGGTAACGCAGACGCACATAAGGCGCGGAACCCGCGCAAAACGCAGACGCGCGGAACGCGCGGTGGTAGTAGTAGTAGTAGTAGTAGCAGTAGCAGTAGCAGTAGCAGTAGCAGTAGCAGTAGCAGTAGTAGTCGTCGTCGTCGTAGTCGTAGTAGTAGCAGTAGTAGTAGTAGCAGTGGTAGTGGTAGTGGTGGTAGTAGTAGTAGTAGTAGTAGTAGTGAAAATATCGTAGATGTATAGTAGAAAGGATACTAATCGTAGTATTGATTAAATTACAATTAGTAGAAGTAGTAGTAATATTCATCGTAATATTTTAGCTTCTTTGAGAAATTTAAATGCGGCTACACGCGCGGAACCCGCGCAAAACAACACGCGCGGAACCCGAGCAAAACGCAGACGCGCTTAACGCGCGGAAACCGCGCGTACTGTTACTACTTCTAGTAGTAGTAGTAGTAGTAGTCGTAGTCGTAGTCGTAGTCGTAGTAGTAGTAGTAATAATATCGCAGATGTAGTAGAAATGATACTAATCGTAAAATTGATTAAATTATATATAGTTAGTAAAAGTAGTGGCAATATTCGTTGTAATATGTAAATTTCTTGAAAAAAATTAAATGCGACGACGCACGCGGAACCCGCGCTAAACAACACGCGCGGAACCCGCGCGAAACGCAGACGCGTATAACGCCCCGAACCCGTGCGAAACGCAGACGCGCGGAACCCGCACGTACTATTAATACTTCTAGTAGTAGGAGTAGTAGTAGTAGTAGTAGTAGTAGTAGTAGTAGTAGTAGTAGTGGTAGTGGTAGTAGGTAGTAGGTAGTAGGTAGTAGGTAGTAGGTAGTAGGTAGTAGGTAGTAGGTAGTAGGTAGTAGGTAGTAGGTAGTAGGTAGTAGGTAGTAGGTAGTAGGTAGTAGGTAGTAGGTAGTACGTAGTAGGTAGTAGGTAGTAGGTAGTAAGTAGTAGGTAGTAAGTAGTAGGTAGTAAGGTA